TGGGCGGGCGGGCGCGGTGGGCGTCCGGGTCGGTATGTTGCAGCTTGATAGGGCCTTATAAGGGTACCTTTCTTGGAAAAGGCGCTACGCAGCGCCTGCTCAGGGTCGCGGAATTCCGTCCTGCCAGGCGTATTAATCCTACTCTTCTTAAGGATTTATCGTGCCAACTGCCTTTAATGTGAAGGAATAATTCCTCAGCGTTTGCAGGCGTTATCGAAGACGATCCTGGACAAAGAGTTAGGCGATTCTCATCCGTTGTTTCGCACTCAGTTGGAGGATTTCATTAACGAAGTCATCCGGAAAACCTCAATGGTATACAAGACCCCTGAGTATTGCAGTAGCCATCCAAAGGGGTTCGTTTTTCCAATACTTGCAACATTTCTTGCGAAAATTGTTAGGACTGTTAGATCGGATGAAAATTGCATTTTTGGTTTTCTCAACTATTTATGCATTTTTCCGAACCAGTGACTTTCTAATTTTCAGCGGGTTTTCCTCAGCGCTTGCATGTAAAATAGGAGTTTTACTTTATGCGGTCAGAATGCCTACTTAAATTCACATTTTGCGATTTTAAGTCGTACCGTGTACAGTTTTGTTCTCTGCGGATGATGTTGCATGTCAAGGGGGATGCATTGCGCCAACCCATTTTTTTTCTTTTTTTCCTTTTTTTTTCTCACGGCAAGAGGCAAGATTGTTTCATATCTTTCGTATCACTCGTTTTCTATCGGTAGCTGTCACTTACCCTCTTTAGCAACTGGCGGAGAACGGGCTGGCTGCGCGCCAAACGTAACCGCGCCGACCCGCCCCGTCATGCACAGCGAACGATACCGTAGCTTATTTATAATCCGAATATCATTTATGAGTTTCAGAATTCCTCCGAATCGTCAAGGAATGTGTGCTCAGTGTCTCAGCCAGCAAAAATATAGGTACGTTACTAGTTTTCGATACTTTGTTGACTTCCATCATTCCATCAGTGGTATATGTTTTCAGAAGCGCACAAGTGCATGCTCACTGTGTATCCCATTCACAATTTGTAGCCTTTCTCGAGGCTTGTTGTCTCAAATTAAGAAAGGCAGTCGTTGAACCAGGAACAGCCGTAGGTGCCATTGCGGCTACTAGTATAGGTGAGTTTAGTTGCAATAGCTACAGTAACTGCCAGTTTTGATAGCGGTTTCTTTCAGGCGAACCTTCAACGCAGATGACACTGAAGACATTCCACTTTGCTGGTGTCGCCTCAATGAACATTACGCAAGGAGTGCCGCGTATAAAGGAGATAATTAACGCCGTTAAAGCTGTAAGTTGTCTGCAGATAACGTTTCAGTAAGCGGGTGTCTTCTACGAATGTTTTTTTTTCAAGATTTCAACGCCAATCATTACTGCGAAGTTAATGGACAGTCGAGACGAAAGGCTGGCACGGCAGGTGAAAAGCGCGTATTGACGTGACGACGTTGGGTTAGTTTTTGAATAGAGTTGTATTTATTGTGATATTCTTTATTGTTTCTTTGTTCATAACGTTCAGGAGAAATCTGTGATTACATCGAAGAAGTAAATATGCCAGATAATACGTTCCTACTGTTGAAATTGAGTTCCAAGCGTATTCGAATTCTTCATTTAGAGGTATGTGACGTAGAGAGACGGTCTTTAGGGATTTACATGACGTCGCGCGCGGCAGTCTGCAAACGCCGCGAGCTTGCAATGGAGCGAACGCTCGCGGTCAGCAATGCGTTATAAGAATAAGATTGTGTTCACTTGAGTTTTTAGCCTCTTATTAACTCTGGTAGGACCTGGACTACCATGGCCGTCAAATTTTTTCTGTTTATATAGGTAGAGTGATAACATAGCAATTATTGTGCAGAGAAACCTGCGGCTCTGCTCGCTAATAATTTACCTTACCTGCTTATTCCTGATTATTTGGCTGTCACAATGCTTTGTGGGCAGCTTAGCATTGTTGAGGTACGAGGGGCTGTCATCTTGAAAGAAATAGCAGCGAAATGTCACCATCGCGATAACAAAACCATAGCGCGCGACGCCGCGTGGTCCTACCGTCACATACCATGCGACGTACCGTTGATTATGGCTCCATCTTATGTTGATAATTCGAATTATTAAGGTCACAATGACAAGTATTGTGCAGAGTATACTTTCTACAAAGTCCTTTGTACCCTTCAAATTGGCACAGGTAAAGCATCGCGGTGGCGTGAGCCGTGTATTATTCAAATTGTTCCTCGTTCAGATTACTATCGTTGGAAAATCTATGATGGTTATTCGACCACCTGCTGATTCGAAGTTTAGTAAGGCAATTACCGTACAAATAATGAAGCAGACTTTACAAAGGGTTATAGTGAAAGGTATGCGGTATTGTATTATGTGTTCAGTTGTATTACATTCTGAGCAGTAGTGTCCAACTTCTCTCTTCGTAACCTCGGCACTTGTTACGTTTGATAAGTTCTTCTGTGCACACGCTTCGCGCACCAGAGAGAAGTATCGTTGCGGTACGTTAATTAGTACAGAAGAGCACAGAAGAACTTATCAAACATTCTGAGCAGTATTTCTCTCGTTCAGTTAGTGCTACAAACGAGTAATAGGTGTTCTTCAATTGGTTACTGGTTATTTTCGAAAGTTTAAGGCTTGCCGAATGTGGTACGTTGTGTAATTCACGCCGATGAGAAGCGCGGGGATGAGTACAGTATCATTGTGGAAGGTAGCGATTTCCGTGGTGTACTCTCTCAGCCAGGAATCGATGGCCGTTACACAAACTTCAACAATGCCTTAGTCGTAGCCGAGGTGAGTTACTCTGTAGCTCACGAACTTCAACCATGTTTTGTTATTTGTGTTGAACAGTCAGAACTGGTCATAGTCAAATTCTGAATAAAACGCGGCCTCTCGTGAAGCGTTCTCAAGAGTTCATCATATTTCGCCTGAAGGGAAGCATTGACCCTAGACCGAATAGAGGAACAGATTAACCGTGACCCACCCTCAATCCTCCTCCAAGTCATTTCCGGAAGAAGACGCCGGCATGCTTGTTCTTTAGCGTTACATTTCATTAGTGTGGAATACAATACATATTGTTTCTTCTTAATCACCGCACTCATAATACAACGATATATCTTCACAACGGATGGGTGATTATCATCGTATCCGCACACTGTATCCACTTTCAAATTCTGGAATTTGAAACTGGTCATAGTATTTTTCACCCCACAGTTCAGCTTCACCAAGGGATTCTCGCCACTAACTGAGGCATTCCGTGAAATTCCTTCATGAGGTTCAGTATGGTGCTCCGGCGTAGCTCTACCCTGATTCTTCTAATCCAATTTCAAGTGCATCGAAGGCGGTCTTAAGCCTTCGTGCACTGGACAGTAAAGGTTAGAGGCATATGGCACGATGATTTGGTACTCGGTCTAAAATGCTATCAGGGTGATATACCATTTTCACTTCAAATCGGACACTTTTCAAACCAAATCGGACACTTTTCAAATCAAATCGGACACACCCCTACCAAGGGCAGTTGATAACTAGACCACACTAGGTACTGCTGCAAGCCCCGCCCCAACACCCCCGCCCACCTTTCCAGCGCGGTCCAAAATGTTTTATGAAATCTGCTTCTTCGACTTTTTCTCACTTTTGCTAGTTGCACACACACTTCAACTGAAAAGGATTGGTACCGATACAGATCTGACTCCGCCCACTTAGCGAAGT